TTTCAGTGCTGCTGTTTAGGATGGGGAAGAGACATGTACTAATTCATTTGTGAATCCTTTGTTCGGGGACACCAGTTTTAAAGTATAAATATTCCCTTTAGAGCTTTGCACAAGTTTGTACATTTTAAAACCATGTGAAGGTGGGGCAAGAGAATGGACAGAATCTCCATTGAGGCACCTGCATCTTTCACAAAAAAAACACTTTTCACCTGCACATTTGGGTCCTATTTACACTACCAAATAATTAAATTAATGCAGTACATGGTTTGAAGCTTATCCTCATACTATAATGACTAGAAACGTAATTGTTTAAAAACTGAATTATGTAGAAATTGATGGCTTAGTTTTCTACACTTGCCTAGCAAAGCTTTCCACTCAGAGGTGGATTTTTCAAGTTTCAATCTTGTATGTGGCATTTCTATCCTTCCTCCCAAGTATTTATTAATGATTTACAGAAAAATGTTACTTTACAGTAGGTGTGATTTTATTTATTTTATTTATTTTTACTGGTTACCAAGCAGACTGTAAAACATTAAAGTTGTCTTTATTTCTCTGTTTACATGCAGTCTTGGATCATACTATCCAGTTTACTTGAGACCTTTGAGCTCCATGCTTATACTGGGGAGTACAGCTTTTTAGATGTATGAATTTCCCTGTGTACATCCTGTTTGCTTTCGAAGAACACAACAATGTCACAACTTCACTTTGATCTAGGTTTTTGTCTGGTAAGAGCTGATTAGTGGCAATATCCTGTTTAAAGTAGTCAAAAATGATGCCCCTGTAGAGCATGTTTCCTCCTCCTGTGGGGGTATTTCCTCTTTCTTTCAAGTATGCGTTCAAACTATGCTAGAGTGTGAGAATGACAGGACTTTGCTTCTCACTGAGGGTTGTCCAGTTGTTCCATTACTAAGGGTATTCTGAGTTGCTGTAAAATTGTTGTTCACATCTAAAAGGTCAGCATTAGGAGTCGGGTGTTAATTAGGGCACTGCCTTGTTCTGCACTGTCAAACTGTTTTTTACAAAGCTTTAGTACCGTGATAAAGTAGCTTTTTATTTGAATTTCCTCACAACTGCAAATTGACCATAAGTGAGTATGCTCTGTTGATATTCCAGGGGTCTGCCTCAGGTTTTGTTTTGGAGATGGCATTACAAATTGAAATTAATAGCTACTGAGGACAGGTATATTTTACCCTGACTAGAAAATAGATATTCCCTTCTTTCTTCCCATTGCTCCTCTTTAATTTTGGGTAAATCATGACAACTTTCTCTTTGAAATAGAGGAAGAGACATAAATATACTGACACATGAAGAGAAGGGAGTTACCTTACAAGTGGAGAACCAGTGTTAACAATTCAGTCAGGGTGGATGTTGTCCATTCCCAATAATTGACGAGGAGGTGTCAATATTAAGAGAATACAGAATATCTTTGTATTCACTATTTGAACAAATTCAAAAAATGGGCTCACTATATCTATTATAGGTGGGTCTGCTTTCACCAACTGTTATTAAGGTTTCCTGATGCTTCCCATCATGACCCTGTTTTCAGTTGCTTATAACTTTGTCTTAACTGTTTGGGCTGAAATTTTCCATTCTGGGTGTCTGCCTCATGCTGAAGTATTTTAGAAAATTCAGCCAGAATAGTTTTGGTGTTTCTGGGAACAAGGCTAGGGGAAAATGTTTTGCCCTTGTTAAATTGTGGTGACCATTTCTTAGACACTCTGTTGCCCCATGCTTTGCAGTAGGGACTAGAAATTTCACGGGGGGGCTGGTGGTTTGTGTGTCGGGGTGTTCCTTTTGCCACCCCTGTGAAAGTCTGCCTGAATTTGTCTAGGTTATAAGCTTTTTACGAACTGGAGTTTGCTTATGCTCAGGATAGACTTTAGATTTTAGCAGCTAAATTCCAGAAAGATTCTGTCTGCACTGGGCACATTCCAGTTTGGGGCTGAGCAGGACTTTACCTGTAATTGCCGCTCTGGGTTGCTGTAGGCGGTGCTGGGTCTGGGTCAGGTTACTGGAACTGAGATCAGGGAGCTTTTGAAAATATTGACTAACTGCTCGATAAGTGTGCACTGAAATGAGGCAAGAGTCCTGTGGAAAAAATGGTATATGATCACACATTTAAAGATTGTATAACAGTGCAAACACACAAGAGGTCTGAATTAAGATCTCACAGGCAACCTTAATTCTGGCATTCCTGAACTTTTATTGCTTGATTTTGCAATCTTAATGTTCTTTTAACATAGTTTTTGTGTAATATTAGTGTAACTTGTGAGTAAGCTTTTTAGCTAACAGAAAAAGAACATTATTTTGCAAATTGATCAGTTAGACAAGACTGTATAAACTGTCAAATGTGGAGGGAACTCTGTAAGTCTTAAGTTTGCTTTCCACACAAACGTGATTTTTGAATGCCATATGTACTGTCATATGCATGTAGAATTTCTCATGCTAATTTGCTCTAATCTTTCAATTCTTACTAAATATATATAAATCAGCATTTACACAGTAAGGCATAGGCTTAGTCTTTTCTGCAGCTTAGCTCTGAAATGTTTGAGTGAAACTATTACAGTTGGCCTGTAACCTAATTGGACTGTTGTGTCGGAAAGTTTGCGGAACGGTTGCATTAGTTCAGAGCTACTTTGATAATTGTGCCAGTAAAATAGAGATATGTAACATGACGGCTCTGAGTGGAATGAGTGAATAAACATCACGGGTACGTCTACAGGTTTTGTTTTTGCTTGTCTTTTTTCTTGTGGATGACAGGTTTCAGAGTAGCAGCCGTGTTAGTCTGTATCCGCAAAAAGAACAGGAGTACTTGTGGCACCTTAGAGACTAACAAATTTATTAGAGCATAAGCTTTCGTGGGCTACGGCCCACTTCTTCGGATGCATATAGAGTGAAATATATATATCTCCTCAATATATGTTTCACTCTATATGCATCTGAAGAAGTGGGCTGTAGCCCACGAAAGCTTATGCTCTAATAAATTTGTTAGTCTCTAAGGTGCCACAAGTACTCCTGTTCTTCTTGTGGATGAATCGCAGCCAGATTCAGTAAACACAATGTCCAGGTATTCCTTGGGGGAACTTTCAGCCAGCTGGGATTAACAGTTAGCATTTGTTTATGGGAGAGGATAAGCAAACAAATAAAACCACATTATATTTCATAGCAGAACATTAGAGTAAAAGGTGCTCCAAAGAACCACCTCAAAAATACATATTTAGGAGAAAACTTGAATTGCTCCCACTCAGATATGTTCAAACCTATTTTGCTGGTTCACAAACTCAACTCTGTTGAAATGGGAACGTGTGTGTGTGTGTGTGTGTGTGTGTGTGTGTATATATAACTCTTTCTAGGCTGATGAAACTCAGACATTTCAGATATTGCTTTTCACAGATCTAATTGGTGGTGTGGTGGTTTGTTTTTTGTTTTGTTTTTATATTCTATCTTATCTGAGGCAGAGGAAACTGAGTGCTGATCACAGGACTGCTTCTTATGGTGCCTGATACACAAGGCAGCAGGGAGAGAATGGACAGGATTAGCTAGGATTCCTTCCTGTCAGTCCCAAGGGTCAGAAGAAGCCAGAAAGGGGTATAAGAGTTGGGATACACGTGTAATTTTAAATAAAAGGTGTGCAATTACTTGCCTAACATGTTTATTCTCTTAGTGCAGTACTGCATAGAATGTACATTCAGGGGGAAACTTTTCAAAGGCAAAAGGGAAGTTGGGCATCCAACTTGAAAATCTTGCCATTAAACTATCAAAATTAGCAGTTTACAAGGGCAAGTTACCTTAATTCTGTGCCCACCCAACTTTAAAAAAAAAAAGTCCCGTTTCATGTAATGTAGGTGTGGACAGGTGCAAAGTAGTGGTAGTGTCTTGACTATCGGATCCTATATTGTGATGTCTTGAAGTTTAAACAGTATGTGATGACATTGACTTGCAGTGTTTCAGAATAGCAGCTGTGTTAGTCTGTATCCACAAAAAGAACAGGAGTACTTGTGGCACCTTAGAAACTAACAAATTTATTTGAGCATAAGCTTTCATGGGCTACAGCCCACTTCATCAGATGCATGTAGTGGAAAATACAGTAGGAATACACACACACACACACACACACACACACACACACACCATGAAACAATGGTGTTACCATACACACTATAAGGAGAGTGATCAGTTAAGGTAAGCTATTATCAGCAGGAGAGAGAAAGAACTGTTTATGGTGGTAATGAAAATGGCCGATTTCCAGCAATTGACAAGGAGATGTGAGGAACCGGGGGGGGGCGGAATAAGCATGGGGAAATAGTTTTACTTTGTGTAATGGCCCATCCACTCCCAGTCTTTATTCAAGCCTAATTTAATGGTGTCCAATTTGCAATTTGGGGCCATTTTCATTACCACTACAAACAGTTTTTTCTCTCCTGCTGATAATAGCTCACCTTAACTGATCACTCTCCTTATAGTGTGTATGG